CTCCAGCGCTAACTCATTTTACCCTCTTCCTGTTTTCCCTTCTCGACAATCCCCTAACCTTTATCCCAGGATAGGGGCCAGGGGGAAACATGTTTGCAGAGACAGGGAACGAAGGGTAGAGGAATTTGCCAATCTTCTACCCTCTGCGGTACCTGAGCCCCCCCGCATCCTCAGCCCTCCGCCTCCATCTCTGACCTGGAACTCCCTGTCTCACACTGAGCCCCCACTTCAGCCTCGATCCTCCATCCCTGGCCTGGGGCTCCATCCTTAACACTGAGCCCCTCTCCCCATCTTGAATCCCTAGCACTAAGTGCCAGTCCTTGAAACTAAGCCTCAACCCCTAATACTGAGCCCTGTTCCCAGCACTGAGTCCCCATCTTCAGCACTGAACCCCCGAAACCCCATTTCCAAACTTTGGCCCTCAGCCCTAACTGTAAACCCCCATTTCCAGTCCTGATCTTGAATTCCCATTCCTAGCCTTGAACTCCCATATTTGACCCTGTATCAGCTCCTGACTCTGAGTGCCCATCCCTAGCACTGGGACCCTCTCCTTGAGCCTACTTCCCCAATGTTGAGGCCCCATCCCGGTGGCTATTTCTGTCTCAAGCACTGAGCGCCCCCATCCCATCCCTGGCTGAGCCTCCATCCCCAGAACCGGGCCCTTCTCTTTGGCTGCCCCCATGGAAGCATTAAGCTCCCATCCCCGCGTCTCAGACACTAGCATCCCTGCTCCATCCCTGACCATGAGCCCCACTCCCCAGCACAAAGCCTCATCCTCCCTTGCACTCAGTACCAATCCCACCCTCTCTGGTAGGTTTTGCAGAGGGGGAACCTGAGGCTCAGAGAAGCCAAGACATTTGTCCAAGAACACAGAGCCAGTTAGAGGCAGAGTCTCAGTTAGAACATGGACCTTCTGCCTCCCACTGTCCTATTTTTCCTACATTTATACCACATTGCCTCCTGTTCCTGTGCAGAAGGAAATTTTAAGCTCTTTTTACACGAGTCATAATGAAAATTCATCCTCTTCCCCTCCCCCTAGAGAATTCCCACCTTCTAGGTTCCCTTTCTCAGTGTCCAACCACACCTATCCTGGCCGCAGGATAGCGGCCACTGCGGTCCCTGTCATGGTCTAGCCACTTACCGTGGATTCGACCCTTCCCTGTGCCTTTTCCTGTATCCCCTGTATGGTTATCTGATGCCCAGCATCCCCTCAGGTCCCCTTTCACTCCCAGACTGTGTCACTCGATCAAGCTAGTTGAGAGCTAGCATAAGGAGCACCAAGTGAGGAGCTGGGGGTGGGGGGTGGTCTTTCTTCCTCTCCCAGCTGGGCTGGCAGCACTCTGCATGATCTTAGGAAAGTCACTCCTCTGCCCCGCATGTTCTATCTCTCTCCCTCCCCCCCCATATATATATATATACAATATTTATTATATTTTATATATTGTTTTATAAGTATATATATATATACATTTTTTAAAAGATGGCTGGACTTAATGACCTCTTCCAGTTCTAAAGCCCTATAAATCTCTCTCTCTGTCTTTCCTCACAACCAATCAATCAAGAATAACCACAGTTCCCATGCATCTCTGGAGCACCAATGTTTATAAAATCACTTTCCTCCAAACAACCCTGTGAACTTCAAGAAAACAAGGATTATCACCTCCATTTGACAAGTGGGGAAACTGAGACTGAGAGCCTCATGACTCATGACATCACTGGGCTAAGGTCACTCCCGAAGAGTCTTTACTGAGCACCTGGAATAGGCTAAGGGGCCAAGGAGGCAAAAGTCTGGTCCTCCTCCTTGGGATGCTTGAAGCCTCACCCTGGAGAAGCCAGACGTGTATTAAAAAAGCAATCCAAGACAGACAGTGATTAAGCAGTAGGCTGGGGATGGGTGAGAAAGCATTCCTCATGGTCTGCAATGCCCAGCAAAGGTTTCCGCTTAGAATGTAAGCTTCTTGAGGGCAGGGACTGTCTGCTTTTCTTTCACATCCTGGCACATAGTAGGCTCTTAAGAAATGCTCCATAATTGATTCCTGGAGGTTGTGGGACTTGAGTTGGTCATCGAAGGAATGGGGTGTGGATACCGATGGACGCTCAAGAAGACTATTCCAGGTTGCCTCTATCTGGAAGAGACCCTGAGGTCATGTCGTCCAGCCCCCTCATTTTACAGATGAAGCCTAGGAAAGCAACTCCTTCCAGGTCACACAAGTAGTCAGCAGCCAACCAGGATTTGAACCCAGGGCCTGTAACTCCAAACCCAACATCCTCTCCATAATACTGTACCTCTCGGCCTGCCTCCATTGGACCACATCTCAAGCTTAGTCTCTTAACAAGAGCTGGCTTTAGAGGGTTCACACTAAAAAACTTGTGGGGCAAAGCAGAAATACTGCTCTGGAGTTAGGGGTGAACCCAGGAAGCCAGTCCCCAAATAGAGCGTTCAGAGACTCAGACCCTCACTGTCTTCTCCCCTTTGGAAAAGCGGGCACAGGACAAGGCCCCTCCATCTGAGTACCCCTAAGAAGTAACAATTAGTAGGTTGGGGAGAAAGGGGAAGGGAAGGATTACGTTTCCTCTGATGAGTTTTCCAGGAGGAGATTCTAAGTCTCGCTCGTGACCTGCACGAAGGGGACCAAGACCCAGTTGCGTGCCCCCGTCCCTCCCCTGATAACAGACGGGGAGCGGGGCTTCTTGGACCCCTCTGGGAGCAGCCTGGGACCCCTCCCCAAAATCATCTTTGTCAATGCAGAGGAAACTACTGAAACCGGCATGAGGATGTTTTTTAATAAAACAAAGAAGGCCCTGGCTCCCAGGCTAAGAAGCCCCCATCCGACGATCCCCAAGGCTCTTCTCGTCTTGGCTTCCTGGGGTTTTTCCTGCTCCAGGCCTGCCTGACACGGGGCTAGGCAGACACTTAGAGAACACAGGTGGATGCCCTCGGGGAGCTTCCAGTCTAACGGGGGAGATCATGGAATAACAGCGGAGGAGGTCTCAGAGACCAACTAGTCCAACCTCATTGCTTCTTCCAGGCTGGGAACTGAGGCCCCAAGGGGTTAAGTGACTTGCCCAAGGTCACACAGGTAGGCAGTATCAAAGGTGGGGCTTGAACCCTGCTCCCCTCAGCTCAGCTGCTCAGGGATAACCCTGAGACCAGCTTCTTAGTGAACCAACACGTAGGATTCTGCTGGGGACTTAGGGCAGAGGTGCTGGGAAGGAAAAAGCTTGGTTTCCACTCAGAACGTGCGGATCTCAGGACTCTTTTCTGCACCACAGGGGCGCCCCCTCCTGGCCCAGGAGGAAACGACAGCTTGGGTCTGAGGCGAGGAGAGCTGGGGCGGACTGTAAGGGAGAGATGAGGCAGGAATCCCGAGATGTGGGCTGGGGGACACTCAGCTGGGGACCAGGTGGGCCCGTGCATCTGAGGCATGAGGGCCGGGCCTCTTCCTGAGGATGTGGTTTTACTTCCTTCCCAAACTATGAGGTTGGGATCATAGGATTAGAGTTTAAGGAACTTCAGAGGCCATCTGGTGTACCCCATTTTCCAGATGAAGAAACTGAGGCCCAGGGAGGTTAAGCCACTCGCCAAAGGCCACACAGCTGGCAAGCTGTGTCAGGGTGAGATTTGAACCCAAGGGCTCTGACTCCATAGCCAGTGCCCTTCCCACTGGGGTTTTTTCTTCCTTTTTCTCCCCAATCTACAAGTGGTAGCTAAAAAACCCTGGCCTTGGCTCTGCGGCTCACCCCCTCACACCTGCTGTCTGGAGACTCTGCAAGGTCTTCAGCCCCAGGGGGAGGGAGGAGAGTCCCCTGGGGATAGTCTATGAGGTCAATCACTGATGCTATGCAGAGGCACTAAGCAGGAAGGGAATGTGCACTGGTCCTGGAGTGCTATGACTTGGGTTCGATTCCTACCTCTGAGACTTGGCATCTGGGTGACCTTGGGCAAGTCATTTCCCCTCTATGTGCCTCAGTTTCCAAATCTGTAAAAAATGAGGGGGCTGACTTAGATGGCCTCTCAGGTCCCTTCCAGCTTGAGATCTCAGATCCTCTCTTCCTTAGGGCTGCTGGTGTCTGGGCTTAGATTCCTTTAAACATTACCACTGGGGCAAGCTCCAAGGGCATCACTTTTCTGTAGATGACAGGATAACCTTTTCTCCCCAAACCCCACATCCCTGCCCTCTCATTCAGTCTCCCCATCATAGGATTTACCAATGGAGAGGACCACAGAGGTCACCTCATCCCATTCCTTCATTTTAGGGATGAGGAAACAGACACAGGGAAAGGAGTTGTCTTCCCAAGGACACACAGGTATTAAGTTAGCAACACCGGGATTCAAACCCATGTTCTCTGAGTCCAAAGACGCTATCCCTTCCATTCTCTCTTGGCGCTAGGTGTTAAAGAAAATGGGACCCTGAGGTTCTCTTTCCCCAAAGTCCCCCCACAGCATCTCTGCTTTTCTTGGGTCCTCTACAATCCCCCTCCCCAGCTAGGACAAGGAGACAAGATTAAAGAGGGGGATGGGATGAGCTGGAGTGGGGAGGGGGCTGAAAGGGGATAGGAATGGGGGTGGGAGCTCCTCCCAGGCCTGAGGTGGCTGAAGTGGGGGGGTGTGGGGGGGGGCTTCAGGGCAGCTGGCCCTTGTCCCCGGGCTCTAGGCTTGGGGCCCAGTTGGGGCGGGGCGGGGCAGGGTGGGGCGGGCGCTGGGGCCTGGCCATCACGGGGCTTGGCTAGAGCCAGGGATTTTTGGCAAGGACTAGAGTCCTCCCCTTTCCTCTTGCTGAAGGCTGTTTTGGCAGCATCCCCCCCCCCCTCCTGCTGCTTTCTGGCAGGGCCCTGGACAGGGCTGGAGAGAACAGCAATAGAGAAAGAGGGGGGGAAGCAAAGAAAGAAAAAAAAACCCCAAATAGTCCAGTCTGGGGAGGTTTGTGTATTGCCCTTTCGTAATTACGTCGTGTCCTGAGCTTCCCCCCCACCCCCCTCACCCCCCCCATCACACAGCCCCCCTCCCTCCCTTGTTCTTCCCCCTCCCTCTTTCCCTCACATCCCTTGTAGACAGCAATTAAGCATTGAGGATAAAACACACAGCCCGAGAGAGGGCTGAGGCTTTTCTCCCAGAGATGGCGAGTCGGACAGCTCTCCCCCTCCGGCCAGGAGTCATCCTCCTCCTCCTCTCCATCCTTCAGCCCACGAGGCAAGGAGGTAAGGGTACCCCCAATGGGATCAGCTCCCCAATCCTGTCCTGGTCTCCACCATTACCATCCGCATCCTCCCTGTCCCGTCCCCATCTCTACCCACCATCCCCATTCCTCCCCCGCTCTATCCGTCCCCTCTCTTCACAGTCCTCGGTCACCTTTCGGAAAATCAGACTGAGTCTATCTCTGTTTCCCTATTTCTAGGGACTGGAAGGGCAGGTGGGGTGTGTGTGTGTGTGTGTGTGTGAGAGAGAGAGAGAGAGAGAGAGAGAGAGAGAGAGAGAGAGAGAGAG